TTAAAAAAAAAAAAAAAAAAAGGCGCGCAAATCTTTTTTAAAAAACAAAGAGACTTTGATTTAATTAAACATGGATCATCCACCTACCTTTACATCTATTAACGTGAGTTCACTTATTAATAACCCTCCCGCGAGTGAGGCTGAAACTCCACCTATTAAAAGAAAACGTTTGACTCAAGCATGTGACGCGTGTCGTAAGAAAAAAGTGAAGTGTAGTGGTGAAAAACCAACTTGTAATAATTGTGCCCGACTTGGTGTAAATTGTACATACCTTCCTAGTACGCGTAAGAGAGGTCCAAGAGTTGGTTTGGTGGAAAGTTTGGAAAAACGTCTTCAACAAATGGAAAAACTTTTACAACCCCTTAAGGAACAAGGTCTTGTGGATGATAGTGAGATTGATGATAAGCCTATTGGTGGTTATTCCTCTTCTAAAAAACCACGATTAAGTTCTGATGATGTTTCTTTCTCTGCTCAGAATAATTCTTCCAATTATAATAATAATAATAACAACAATAATAATAACAAATCCGCATTTACTCCAACTACTAATTCTCAAAATGTTAATCAATTTCAACAAACCTTTGGAAATTACAATAATTCAAATCAACAATCTCGACCATCTTATCAACAAAATGAATTCAACATATATTCTCAGCAAAAGAGTGAACCACAAATTAATCAATTACAAATGCCAAGTGATCAAATACAAAAAGTAATGGAACATCATGATAACTCTCAAAAAAGTGAAAATGATTCAGCTGGTTCGGGAAAGGAGGATGATGAACTTATCTATTTTGGAAAGACTTCTTTGTTAAAACCTGGATTTCGTCATACTTCAGAGATTATGTGTAAGAATGCTGTTCCTCCTGAATCTCCAACAATTTCTGAAGGATCATCCCAATCCGGTATTAATTCGGGTGATACTACTCCAATTCTTAATTCCCCGATTCCGAGAATTATCATAGCTAGTGATCATATACCAATAGAGATTATTGAACATCTCGCTTCTTGTTTTTTCCGTTACATTGATATTCAACTTTCTATATTCCATGAAGCTACTTTTATGAGACAATTAAGACAAAATAAAGTATCAGCCTTTTTAGTATATGCCATGTGCGCAGTAAGTTCTAGGTAAAGAGTATTAACATAATTATATAATTATATATATATATATATAAATTTATATTTATATTTTTAAATACATATAACTTATTTATCTCTCTACTTTTTTTTTAGGTATGCTACTCATCCAGCTATTGTTCGTAAACCTCCTTATACGGCAGGTGAACAATTTGCGAATGTGGCGACCAAGATGATATTGCAATCTTTCGATTATCCTTCCGTTGAATATGTTCAAGGTTTAATATCTTTTTGACCCTTGTAACAAACACTTGATTTTGGCTATCTTCTGATTCTACCTTTATTATTTTTAGCGTTTATTTTATTGACCCTCCACAATTTTGGTACCTGCAAAGGGCCAAGAGCTTGGATGTACATTGGAATGGCCATAAGAATGGCACAAGAAATAGGCCTTCATAAGATAGACGAAACAGCTTCTGGTGCTCAGCCTGTAAAGCTTAAATCAGAAGCAACCTTTATACAAAAAGAAACTAAAAGGCGTATCTTTTGGGCGTGTTTCCTGCTTGATAGGTAATAAAATTTCTTATATCGTTGCGATCGTTGCGAGCAAAACTTTTTTTTTCCAAATCTTACATTATAAGTCCGAAACTCCCCCGAAAATCCCGAAACCCTAATTCGGAAATACTTTTGTAGATCAGATTGGACGAAAATTAGTTTTTTTCCGCAACACTAACTTTTTATATAGTATATATAGTTGAAAAAATTTTTTTCTTTTATTTATATATTATTATTATTTTTTTTTTTTGTGTCGTTATTGTTTATTATTAGATACTCTGCGTGCGCACTTGGCAGACCTACATTGATAGATGAAGATGATTGTGATGTGAGATTGCCTTGTAATGAAGCCATCTGGAATTATGATCATCCTTTTTCAAAATCATTGATCGAAGGATATTTTAATGAAGTTCACGTCAAGCGAGATTCACGTATAAATCTTACAAATAATGGATTATGTGCTTGTTTTATTAGCGTAGCTGCCTTACTTGGAAGAGTTACCCAGTTCGTAAATCGATCCAAACCAGCCAATTCATTACCACCTTGGGATCCACAATCTCAATTTTCCATATTGGCAAATGAATTAGATATGTGGTATAATTCATTGTCTCCTCATTACACTTACTCAAAAGAAAGACTTCAGAAATTAATGACAAATGGTACCGGAGTCATCTTTTCTTCATTACATTTACTATTCAATGCAACTGTAATTGTTCTGAATCGACCAAATATCGCAATTTTGCAAAATAATGAGGTTGGGGAACCACATCTAGAGTTCATGCGTGCATCAGCGGAACGTTGCAGCGCCGCAGCAAAAGTAGTAGTTGCAATAGCTTCAGATATTCTTCAAAATGGTTGTCAATGTTTTAGCCCTTATACTGTATACCCTATATTCGTATCCACCACAATTCTCATTAATGATACTTATAGTTCAAAAATTTCGGTTGCTGAAGAAGCTAAAATGAATTTATCAACAGTTGAAAAATATTTGACAACAATGGGACCTTATTGGGCGATGGGTAATAAATTCTTGTGCATGATTAATGAAATGCGAAAAATGAGAGCTGAACAAGAAGAGAAAAATAATAATATTTTTAATAATAATTTGAACCCGGAACAAATGAATGATATCACCTTAAGTACGGATGCAGGACTTTTAGCATACTGGAATCGTACCAATAACGCAGCAGCTACTGGGACTAATAATAATAATAATTTGGGGGATATTTCATCTATTATATTACCTGAAGAATTCGCTTCACCACGTTGGTTGGGAAGCATTAACGAACCATCTGTTCCAAATGACACGTTTTCTAGTTTCCTTCGTTCTACTGGACCCTTTACTCCAAGAACATTATCACGTATTTTAAAAACAAAACCTGGGGAAAATTCAACAGATAATGATTATTTTACTCAAGATACAGCAGTAGCTTTCAATAATTTTCCACCACCTGTTTATGAAGGATACCCAATGATAGATTTGCCATTATTACAAAATTTCGATTGGAACATGTCAGAAAGAGATTTTATATTAAATCGTCCACTTAAACATTGGAGTTCGATTAATGGTTCAACAAATGATGATTCTACAAATGATACTAGGTCCATGTCTACTACAACTGTTTCCAGTAACACTCCAAATGGTTCTGCTTGAGTATATATATATATAACAGGGATTGATTTTATATATGCTAATTAATCTCTCTATCATGTCCCCAAAAAAAATTTCAAGCTTACCATCTTTTACCAACCTTAATAGGTCAACGCAATAATAGTTCATTCATTATTATACGGTAAGGGTAAGATGTTTTAAAAATATTAGATTTTCTTCTTTTTTTTTTTTGTAATATAGGATTTTTTTAGAAATGTATGAATAT